CATGCTGACACCTTTGCTGCAGACTCATATGAGAAGAGTCTCAGGAGCCTGTAGGACCATTTCCATATGGCCAGGTACCTCCGAGTGGCTGGAATTTTAAGGCCTGTTTGTAAAGACTCCTGAGCAGAAGAGGAACTATCCATATTATTATATGAGAAAAATACTCCTCACAAGCTTCCTGGCCTGAGCGCTGGCTTCAGCTGGCTCAGCTCCTCCTTCCCAGGCCTCCGAACCTTGCTCTGTGCACTCTGTTCTCACTTTTGGTCTGATCAAGTCTGTGAACCCTGAGCCTTGGGGCAATAGTGACAGGCCCCCAAGATAAGCAGACATTGAGGCCCAGTTGTTGCTTTTATGGAAATAATATCTCTTGTAGGATAAAAAATGCATTTCTCTAGAAAGTGTCTCATAACAAGGTACGTTTGAAAGAAACAAAACGAAAACTGACCTGTGACGTCACAGCCCAGGGATGCTTACCTCACAGCTCTCCTCTTGCAGGAATGCATCTGTGTTTTTAATTTGCAAATTTGCTGCAAAATCAACTACGGACTGTAAAAAGTGATTATGAGCCCAAACTCCGAATGGAATGTCTTATTGAATAAAGTAACATTGAGGAATTCAATTTGCCGTGTCTGCACATCTGCATAGCTTGTTCATTATTTCTAAGACAAAAATGCAATCTCATGTATTCCAATTTGGAGTAAAGTTGTGTTCTACGTCCATCCCCACCTCCTAAAAGTAGATTAAAGTAGTGGACAGTTTCTTCCTAGTTTTCTAAGACCAGAATAATGAAACATCCTTAACTGGGGGCTTAGAGGTGGACAGTAGTGCTAGCGGTTGGAGGCCACCATCAAAGCATCCATAGGTCCTTCTGTCATTGAGACTGTGGGTAAGACCCTTCTCGTTCTTTCCAGCAGTGCTGGTGGCTGTCCACCCTTGGTGTCATTGGCTTGCTGCTGCATCTGTTCCAACCTCCATCGCATCACATGACATTCTCCCTGTTTGTCTTGTGTCTATTTTCTCTTCTTACAAAGCTCAGCAGTCTTACTGGACATAGGACCACTTCTAATGGAGTATGGCTCTATGGTTTCCTCTGCACAGAGCTGCTGTCCCACTGAGCCACATTCTGAGGTGCTGGGCACATAGTCCTGCCAGCACCTGCCTTTGCCCCGCTCCACTGGGGCCGTTTTCCCCCCAGAGAAGGTGCTTATCGGGATCCACCTGTGGTACCTCTTGGGTGTCCTTGCACAGTGCATGGGCCATGTTCCTTGCCCACTGCCTCCACCGGCCTTGCAACTTCTTCCATTCCCATCTGTCCACCCCTTCCCTGGGACCTCTGTAAATGAAAGTTAAACTGCAGCCGGCGGAGAACACAAGGTTGGGGTGCAATGTGGAACTGTGGGACGAAACGGAGTTTAAATTTGACCACAAACATTACTGACTGTCTGTTACTATAGGGTCTGGACCAGTTTCCCATCAGCATAACGTCATCTAAAAAAAGATATTTGCAAGTTTTCTGTTGCAGATGCTGTTTTAGGTAAGTCGAGGCTCACAGGCTTCAGAGTGATGTCGTAAATCCCTAGTGGTGGAGGTTGTGATTGTCCTGAGTCTTCCTGCTCTTGCTTGTCTGCTCTCAGTCCCTGTGTCCCACCTCGCAGCAGATGAGTCTCTTTCCATGCCCACAGGAAGTTCCAGCTGTGCAGACCCAGCCACTGGCTCACTTTGCCCCAGTTACAGTGCAGACCAAAGCCTCTCATTCCTGCCTCAGCTTAAGCCCCTCTGCTCCCCACCCAAGCCTCGCTGTAGGGGGCCTGCTTTCCCAGGCTCTTTCTTGTATAGCTGAGACCATCAGGCTCCATATCGGAACTGCTTTTGTAACCACAGATAAAAATACTTCCTACAGGAGAGCTGAAGTCCTGAAGCCTTGTGTTTATTATCTGGACCTCCTCCCTCCATCTCAGAATGTCTCTCTCTCTCTCTCTCTCTCTCTCTCTCTCTCTCTCTCTCTCTCACTCTCTCTCTCTCTCTCTCTCTCTCTCTCTCTGTCATAGTCCTCTGGGTTGATTCACATCTTAAATCTTGGCATTGATCTCCGGCCTGCTTATTCGGTGCTATCTGGTTGTTAACCCGAGACCCCAAATCCGTCCTCACCCAGTGTTGAAGCTGGTTGTACCCCATGTGCATTCTCTGTTGTTTTCCCTCCAGGTTAGGGTTTATATGTTCTGTGGGGAAATTAGTGGCTGTATATGTTGCATGTGTATTAACACAAAATGCTAGATTAATTTGAAAATCTCAGAGGCCTGAGATTGCAGTATGTAAAATGTAAACATGGGTTGTATCTCACACGTTTGAGTTAACATGTCTGCATGTAGGAATGTTCAGCAAGTTTGTGGTTTCGTTCAAATGACACCAAGATGGAGCCTTCTAGAAACAGAACATTCTCAGCATGATGATTCTGTAAGTTATTGGGACTTGGGCATCCAGCTCTGTTCATTTTTGTGTTAAGTAACCCAGCCAGTGTGTATGAAAACAGCTTCCTGTAATTCAAACCTTTGGAATTGGCCCAACTGTATAATACCGGTCTCTGCAAAAGCCTGAGGTGGGGATAAGGGATAAATAAATTCAATAGCACGTGTTTGGCTGTGTATTCAACCCCAGTGTGTACGTGTGTACTACAGGGCACTTTCCTCAGGTACATGGCTGTCTGCAGATGCTTTGGAATCTTGTTCTATCCCCTCCGGACACCTTGTCCTTGTTTGTGGACTAGGAATACAGGCTTGTTTTGAGGAGTTCAAGCACCTTACCACTGCAAAAGTATTCACAAAACAAGCCGGGGCTCCGTGTCCACTCCGAAAGACTAAGCTAGAGTCAGGTGTGGCAGCATATGCCTAGAATCCCTGAATTCGGGAGGCTGCGGTAAGAGGATCACAAGGAAGTTCAAGGCCAGCCTGAGTTATATAGTGAGACCCCGTGGCACTAAACCAATGGCCGTGGCTGTAGCTCAGTGGCTGAGTGCTTGCCCAGCATGTGCAAAGCCCCGAGTTCCATCATCCTCAGCATTAGAGGAGGGAAGAGATGGGAGAGTCTAAGAGGATAGACCTGAAGACTGAGGGGGTCAGACCAAGGCAGTGGTAGTGCAGTGCTGGGGATCGTGAGGAATTCAGAAAGCTAGGACCGAAAATAGTGCAATCAGACGTGTGTGACTGAGGTGGACTGGGTTTTAAAGTCAAGAAATCAGAAGGCTCGAAGAAGTCAATGTCCAGTGCCAGCTTGCAGTAGGGCTCAGGGTTCCTGAGCTCAAGGGGTGCACCAGGGCTTTCTTTATTGTCTGGGATTGGGAGTTTCCAGATTTCTGTCTTGTGGTTCCTCGTTCCGGAGGCTGTGCTGAAACGGAATGTGTAAGCATCCATGAAAGGGTTAAACTATTGGTGTGTTCTTGAGTCTAACAGAAAGTGGCATCCTCTGTTTTGTCTTCACAGAAAGGATAAATAGAGGGTCAGAGAAATGGCTTGGCGGGTCGGAGCACTTGTTATACAAGCATAAGGACCAGAGTTCAGACCACCAGCACCCATGCAAAAGCCTGGCCGGGTCACAAGCCTGTAATCCGAGTGCTGATGCTGGGGTGTGGTTAGAGAAAGGAGGATTGCTGGGGCTTGCTGGCCAGCCAGGCTGAAAAGTAACAAGCTTTGGGTTCAGTGAGACAGCTGTCTCAGGGACTATGGCAGAGAGATGGAACAGGGTACCCCACATCCTCCTTTGGCCTCCACATGTGTGCCAGTGGGTATCTACACATGGGTATGCACATGTACACACACACACACACACACACACACACACACACAAAGGGCAAACATATCAGAGATATTTAACTTGTAGCTTTAGAGTTTAACAATTATAAACACATTTAAGGGGATTTATATGCAACTCAATGTCTAATAAGAAGGTTTGGAAGTCCTTGGACAGAAGATGTGTTTAGTCTCTTTTTAGATTAGCTGGATCCTCCCGCCCAGCTCTCGTGACCCCTCTGCACAGATTATGATGATGTAGTTTGTTTTCTTTCCTCACTTAATAAAGAGTTAGAAACGGGAGCGTGAGCTATTCTGGAGGGAAGATATAGTGCCCACCATGTGCTGTGAACACAAGTTCTAGCCATGCCCACCTGCAGCACTCGTGCCCAGTCCTCAGCCATTCCTGATGGAGTGGACCGTACCCAGGCTGCCCTGGCTGTGGCAGCTCCTCTCTGACTCAGTGTCTTAGTCTCACTCTCCTGGGAGCAGAAAACTGCGGAACACCCTCTACATTGAACGCAGTAATAACTTCACACCCACAAATTCATCATAGGCCCAGACTGGAGATGATGGGAACACACAGTTCTCAGGAAAAGGAAACACAGATGACTTTAAAGCAAGTAAAAAGACTCTCAACTTTTCCCCCCTCCCTCCTTCCTTTCAACATCTCTCTCTCTTCCTCTCTCTCTCCCCCCTCCCCCT